CTAACTGGTTTGTACCACGATGATTATTTTATATGCATTTATAATTTGAAATTGCACCAGTGGCTCCACTGTCAGTAAACAATCTTTCAAACATTTTTATGGCTGACTGAGAACAACGCTTCCTCAGCTCTCGTCCCCTAAAGCCCCTACTCTACTTGCGCTATATTGATGACATCTTCATCATCTGGGCCCATGGAAAAGAAGCCCTTGAGGAATTCCACCATCATTTCAACAATTTCCATCCCACCATCAACCACAGCCTGGACCAGTCCACACAAGAGATCCACTTCCTGGACACTATGGTGCTAATAAGCAATGGTCACATAAACACCACCGTATACCGGAAACCTACTGACCGCTATTCCTACCTACATGCCTCCAGCTTTCACCCAGACCACACCACACGATCCATTGTCTACAGCCAAGCTCTACGATACAACTGCATTTGCTCCAACCCCTCAGACAGAGACAAACACCTACAAGATCTCTATCAAGCATTCTTACAACTACAATACCCACCTGCGGAAGTGAAGAAACATATTGACAGAGCCAGAAGAGTACCCAGAAGTCACCTACTACAGGACAGGCCCAACAAAGAAAATAACAGAACGCCACTAGCCATCACCTTCAGCCCCCAACTAAAACCTCTCCAACGCATCATCAAGGATCTACAACCAATCCTGAAGGATGACCCATCACTCTCACAGATCTTGGGAGACAGGCCAGTCCTTGCTTACAGACAGCCCCCAAACTTGAAGCAAATACTCACCAGCAACCACACACCAGAACCGAGGAACCTAACCTTGCAACAAAGCCCGTTGCCAACTGTGTCGACATATCTATTCAGGGGACACCATCATAGGGCCTAATCACATCAGCCACACTATCAGAGGCTCGTTCACCTGCACATCTACCAATGTGATATATGCCATCATGTGCCAGCAATGCCCCTCTGCCATATACATTGGCCAAACCGGACAGTCTCTACGTAAAAGAATAAATGGACACAAATCAGCTGTCAAGAATTATAACATTCAAAAACCAGTCGGAGAACACTTCAATCTCTTTGGTCACTTGATTACAGACCTAAAAGTGGAAATCCTTCAACAAAAAAATTTCAGAAACAGACTCCAATGAGAGACTGCTGAATTGGAATTAATTTGCAAACTGGATACAATTAACTTAGGCTTGAATAGAGCTTGGGAGTGGATGGGTCATTACACAAAGTAAAAGTATTTCCCCATATTTATTCCCCCCCTCCACTCCCCACTGTTCCTAAGTCGTTCTTGTCAACTGCTGGAAATGGCCCACCTTGATTATCACTACAAAAGGTCTCTTCTTCCCCCCCCCCCCCACCACTCTCCTGCTGGTAATAGCTCACCTTAAGTGATCACTCTCTCGTTACAGTGTGTATGGTAACACCCACTGTTTCATGTTCTCTATGTACATATATCTCCCCACTGTATTTTCCACTGAATGCATCCCATGAAGTGAGCTGTAGCTCATGAAAGCTTATGCTCAAATAAATTGGTTAGTCTCTAAGGTGCCACAAGTCCTCCTTTTCTTTTTGTGAATACAGACTAACACGGCTGCTACTCTGAAACCTTTCAAACTCTGTACATCTCAGTCTCCCCCATCAGAAAATGGGAATAATGCTTACCCACCTTTGTAAATCAATTTGAGATCCTCAGATTAAAGAGGCATATTAATGCTAAGTAACAGTAATCACATTTTAAAAGTACCTCCATTTTCCCAGTGTATGTAGCTTGAGCTCTGCCTTTGGACCAGTCTCTACAAGGAAAGTAACTTTAGTGGTCCCTTGACTTCTAACATTCCGAGCCTCTGGGCAGCTTCAAACCATCATGTACTTGTATATACACAACCACAGCCAAGAAATTATGGGGGAAGAGGAATTCTCTTATCTTTCACCCCTTGAAAACAAGCCGGGGCGGGTACCTTCCACTCTAGATACACTGCAGGGAGCAAAACCACTGCACACCTCATACCCACACTTCACTGCGCGCCCCTCCCCCAGAGAACTACACTTCCCAGCACGCCCCGCGCTTGGTTAAACCATAACGTTACAGTTGATTGGTCGGTGGCTTAGGGTAACGGGCCAATCGCTACCCTGGATGTTGCTCGGTGGCTCCACCTCTGACTCGGGGAAGTGGGAGACTTTGAAAAAGTTGCCAGGTCAGGGCGCGGGGCCGTTGTGGCGGTTGGATGGTGGAGCCCAAAGGGAGGGGCTCGGCGGCCCCAGGGCAGGAGGAGTGGGCTGCAGCCAGCAGTCGCCGGGCGGGGCAGGGGGAGCCTGGCTCGGCGCGGGAAGGCAGTGTGGCTGCCCTGGGGCGCCCTGCACTCCTGCGGTGTGTGTGCGGGGCATCCCCGCGCTATCCCACGGGGGAAGCGGAGTCGGGGCAGAGCGAGGGGCGCCCCCCGCCGCCTGTTCTCTTGGGGGCGCTGGGGTGTGTGTGTGGAGCGACTCGCTCATTACAGCCTTCTGGGCCATGCAAGAAGTGGGGGGTAGGTGGGGAGGCCTCTCCCCCCTCTGGGGGCATTCACAAAGGAGAGGGAACAGCTGGGTGATGCAGTTGCAGGATCCGCGCCATAAACCCTGTCGGCACTAGCAGCATTAGGACCTGTAATTCAGTATCGGTGCAGCCCCGCTGGTGGAAACTGGGATTAAACTGAGGCTATGTATGCACTACAGTTTACCTCGGTATGCGTTATGTCACTCAGGAGTGTGAATAAGACACCCCACGAATGACATAAGTTACATGACCTAAGCGCCGGTGTGGACAGCGCTATGTCTGCAGGAGTGCTTCTCCCACCAACATAGCTACTGCTGCTCTCCGGCTGGAGTAAAGAAGTGGACGGGAGAACTCTCCGTTTGGCTTAGAGCGTCTGCCCTGACAATGCTACAGTAGCACAGCTGAACTCTGTAGTGTAGCCATAGCCTCAGGTGTCATTTTTGTACCATAGCATCATCTGAGTAGGGTTAAATAACATGGTGGAAGTAACACTTGAGTCCTGTCTACAGGTTCTACTGTATCTGTGATGAATTAGGAGTCCTGTAGACAAAACCTTAATGTCACAATGCAAACATGGCAATGAATTTTCAGAGTATCTTGGCTTTCTGGAACTCCCAATCAGTATTTTCCTTCCTCCTTGTCTCCCTGCTAATCTGTTTCATTTTTTTTTCTTCGAGGCTGCTTCGGAAGCAGCTCTTGTCCCTTTGCCTGGTGCAATGTCATGTGCCAAGGGTTATGGGTACCATTCCTGTGACTAATTGTTTTCTTCTCTTCCTGAAACTAAGACAAGTCACAGAATATCTGATCAGACACATGGGTTTTGCAAGAGCAGTGTGAGAGAGATATGAGAGACTGTTGCTACTCTAGAGCTATGCGCTGAGTGTGTGGATGTTATATTAAAATGGAAAAATATTTACTAATTTAATTCTTTTCATGGCTGTCCTTTTAAAATCCTGCAAATCCTATTCTATGACCAACCTTCTCTTCTCGATCTCCAGGACTTTTACTGCTTTCTCTGGAGGAACCGGAACATGTAAAGATGTATCCTCTGTAGTTGCAGGAGGAATTTAGCTCTTTAATAAAATTTCATGGCAGCCAAATGACAAAGATGTATGTTTTGAGCTCTAAAACCCTATAGTGAGATACATAACAATGAACTCCATTGACAGTTTCTGCACTGCATGAGTATTCACACAATACTAACATAACCCCAAGGCTTGACCCACCATGCACCAAGATCAGTGGGATACCTGAGGAACGTTCAGAAGAGCCAGTCTCTTTGAAGTCCTTGTTATGAACCCCAGGATATTATGTGTGAAAGAATAAAATGATTGAATATATGTGTAGATAGGAAGACAAATGTGTATAGTTGCTTTAGATGATCTGTGACATCTGCTTTTCAATTGCCAGGCATACTGGTATCTTTTATGCCCTGGTTGAGAGATTAAAGAACATGAAAAATGGTACAATTGTAATATCCCAGCTAATTAATAGATTTAAAGGCCAGAAGGGGCCATTGTTATCTTCATGTCTGAGGTGCAGAACACAGGCCATAGGACTTCCTTGAATTCCTTCTTCGCGTCCAATAGCTGTGGCTGAACTAGATCATATCTTTAAGAAAAACAACTAATCTGGATTTAAAAATTGCAAGCGATAAAGAATCCACCACAACCCCTGGAAAGATGGTCTAATGGTTAATTAGCCTCACTGTTAAAAACATGCACCTTTTTTCTAGCCTGAATTTGTCTAGTTTCAACTTTCAGCTATTGGATTGTGTTATACCTTTGCCTGCAAGATTGAAGAACCCTCTATTATCAAATTTCTGTTCCCCATTTAGGTACTTACAGACTCTGATCAAGTCACCCCTTAACTTTCTCTTAGATAAGCTAAATAGATCAAGCTCCTTAAATCTCTCACTGAGGCATGTTTTCCAATCCTTTAATCATTCTCGTGGCTCTTTTCTGACCTCTCTAATTTCTCAGCAACCTTGAATTTTGGATACACTATTCCAGTAGTGGTTGCACCAGTGCCAGATACTCTCTACTTCTACTTGATATTACCCTACTTATACATCCCAGGATTGCATTAGTCCTTTTAGTTACAGCATTGCAGTGGGAACTCATGTTCAGATGATTATCTTCTATGACCCCCCCCCCCCCCCCCCCCCAAATCTCTTTCAGTCACTGCTTCCCAGAATAGAGTCCCTAATCCTGTATGTATGACCTACTTTCTTTGTTCCTAGGTGCATGGCCTTGCATTTGGCTATTTATGGGTAATTGTTATTTAACAGGAGTTGCTCTGTGATCACTTACACACTCCAATAGTACAAAGATTTGTAGTGTCTGATATGTTTCCATTCTTTAGAGTAGAGAGTGTGTGTTTGTGTGTTGGTATTGTTTGTGTTGGTATTGCAAACTGCTTTTCTAGATTTGTTTTGCTGTACTGTGTGATTGTTTTTCTGTTCACCAGATGTGGGAGCATGGCCACTAAGAAATTAAGAAGAGCAGGGTTATCTCAGGAACTTTGTGACAGGTTGAGTCGGCATCAGATCAATACCTGTCAGGTGAGACTTTCGCTTAATAGATTTATTTTACGTTGGGTTATGTGGCACTTTGACACATGTATGGCCTGCTGCCTTGTAAAGGTGTAGTCTTGAATGTGTGCAGAAATATAACTTCCCCACAAGTTCATACTTTACATTTATATAGAGCCTTTCATCCCAAAGATCCTAAAGTAATGTAGAGATCACTTCTGTCACCAGTGAAATTCAGCTGCCACTTGGGTGGAGCAAGACAATTGTTTAACTACGTACAGCAACACAGTACAAAAGGAAGTGAAGATGGTCAGATTAAACTGAAACTAAAAGTGATGTTTTCGCATTCTCTTCTCAAATCAGAGTTGTTAATCTGGTGTTCTGTGACTTTGTCTGATACAGGATGATTCAGGGCTAGATCCTGCAAGTGTCTGTATGAATGGATCCATAAGCAGATCCAGGGTCTCTGTGCAGAGGCTGCAGTCCTCTGACATGAATCCAATTGTAGGATCTGGCCCTAAGTCTGATAATCAGAAGATGAGACATCATTTGAGGTGGTCTGTGATCATTTTTAAGTTAAGGCAGAGGCTTGTGAGGAAGGCAATATTGTTGTTTCATCCCACCCCAAAATGACAATAACTGAATACTTAATTTCTTCCGCCCTCCCCACACCCACTCAGCCCTTTAAAATGTGAGGCAGAATTAATGCCTTGTATAATTCCATTGTCTTCAGTTGAATTGTATCATGGGAGAATTTGGAATATGAACTGATTCTTTATAAATATATTAAATGAATGAAATCTCTTTTCCCCCTTCAGTCCCCAGATTGAACTCTGTTCCTTTTAATCATCTTTCAGGACTTTCTGTGTCTTTCACTCTTGGAGCTAATGAAAGTGACTGGACAAAGTTATTGGAATGTACGGAAGCTTCTTTGCAAAGTCAGCTTAGCTTGTGCTCCCAAAATGCAGACTGTAAGTATCCTTGCGGTGATACTGTTATGAAATCTGACTACAGTCAGTTTTATTTTTATCTAGCAAGGGTATAGTGTAGTATAGGTTTGTTGCAAATAAAATGAGATGGTGTGCCATCCAAGATGTAAACAGTGGGATTCCATTATAAGGATCAAGTCAGGCTATGCCTGTGTTCATTGCTAAATTCAGATCCATAAGACAATGAATTTCTCACTTCAGAAGTGTATAAAAAGAAAATTTTCTTGTCAGAATACAGTGAGTTCAGCTAGGCATTTTAGTGCTTAAGCAGGTTGCTCAGGTTATAACAATAGGATATAAGTAGCACTTCTACAAATGATGTATGTATGCTGAGAGCCACTCAAGAAGATAAGGAATTCTTTCCTACCTTTGAGAATATCAAAGATATTGCTGCTTCCAATCTGAGCCTTACAACTGAAAGTGCCATTGATTAGTGTAGGTGAAGGGTAGGAACATCAGTGCCCATAGAAACTGGCTTTTAGAAAGTAATGTTAGTGCCATAGAGCAGAGTGATCATTAAAGCTATATTCTGCTCATTTTGGAGAATCTCATATTCTCTCATCCTAGGCAAATGGGAATGTGAAGTGGCATGAAGATGATGCATCTGGTGTTAGAGAGTTGGTGAGAGTGGAGGGAAGGAGACAGAAGGTGTGGGCTGCACTCCTGTTGACTGGATTATTTTGGCTATTGTAAGAGAACATGTCTGAATAAGACTGTTCTTGTGTCCTTCCAGCCAGAAAGAAAAGATGCTAATGATGGTAGCCCTCTTGTGGCAGGAGGGGGGAGATAGGGCAGAGAAAACAGGGTGTCAAGACAGTGCAGGTCCAGGTAACTTTTGCTGCAGTTTAAGAATTGGCCAAGAAGCTCTCCAGATAATCAATGTGAATTTTTAATAAATCTTGGGCAACTGGGGAAGTTCCAGAGGACTGGAAGAAAGCCAATGTTGTGCCAGTATTCAAAAGTTAAATGGGCTGACCTGGCTAGCCTGACCTTGATCCGAGGAAAAAATAATGCAGTGGTTGATATGGGATTCTATCAGCAAAGGAAGGAAATATAATTAATGCCAATCTGCATGTATTCTTGAAAAACGGGTCTTGTCAAATGAACATGAAATTGTTCTTTTATCAACCACACTTGCAACCTTGTGAAAGGTAACAATTAATATAATGAACTTTTGTAAGGCATTTAACTTGGTGTCACATAAAATTCAGATTAAAATTAGCACTATACAAAATCTAAATAGCACATATTAAATGGATTAAAACTGGCTGATAAATTTCAATGAGTAACTGTTAACTAGGAATCATCAAGTGGTGAGGGTGTTTCTAGTGGGGTCCCACAGGGATTGGTTTTCAGACCATCCTTATTGAATATTTTTATCAACAAGTCTGGGGTGTATTTTGTCAAACAGTGGTTCTGCAAAGGATTTGGGGTCTTGGTGGATAAGCAACTGAACAGGAACTCATAGTGTGATGCTGTGGCTAGTGTGATCCTTGAATGAAAAAAGCAAATACTGAGTATGGGTAAGAAGGTGGTAGTCGTAACAACATTGTTCTATACTGGGGTGGGCAAACTTTTTGGCCCAAGGGCCACATCTGGGTATGGAAATTTTATGGCGGGTCATGAATGCTCATGAAATTGTGGGTTGGGGTGCAGGATGGGGTGAGAGCTCCCGCTGGGAGTGTGGGCTCTGGGGTGGGATCAAGGGGTTCAGGACTGGGGATTGGGTCACGGGAGGGGGTCAGGGGTGCAAGCTCCAGGTGGTGCTTACCTCAAGCAGCTCCCAGAAGCAGCAGCATGTCCCCACTCTGGCTGCTACACGTAGGCATGGCCGGGCAGCTCTATGTGCTGCCCTGTCCGTAGGCACTGCCCCTGTAGTTCCCACTGACTGCGGTTCCATGGAACCATTGGTGGTGCTTGGGCTGGGAGCAGCATGTGGAGCCCCCTGACTGCTCCTATGCGTAGAGTCAGAGCAGGGACATGCCGCTGCTTCCAGGAGCCATACGGAGTGCGGCAAGCCCCCGACCCCGCTCCCCGCCTGGAGCGCTGGAGTGGAGCAAGTCCTGGACTCCGCTCCCTGATGGGAGCTTGAGGGCTGGATTAAAACGTCTGAAGGGCTGGATGTGGCCCCTGGGTCGTAGTTTGCTCAACCCTGTTCTATACAGATATACTACTAGAGTTCTGTGCCCAAAGATACTGAAAAATTGGAGAGGATTTAGAAAAGAGTAACAAAAATGGTTTGCGGTCTGGAAAATTCCACTCAGAATGGGAGACTTAAGGAGCTGAATCTATTGAGTTCATCAAAGGAAAAGTTAAGAGGTGATTTGATTGGTGGCCAAGAAGTACCTATAAAGAGAGAAGATATCTGATATTAGAAAACTCTAATTGAGCCTGCAAAAGCATAACAAGATCCAGTGGTTGGAGTTGAAGTCAAAAAAATTCAAAGGGGAAATAAGATGGAAAATTTTTAACAATGAACAGACTAAGGGATGTGGTAAATTCTCTTTCACTTGGAGTCTTTAAATGAAGACTGAATGTCTTTCTAAAAGATATGTTAACAAAGCCACAATTTCTTAGATTCAATACAGGAACTATTGGATGAAATTCTATGGCCTGTGTTATGCAGGAAGTCAGATTAGATTATCATAATGATCCCTTTTGACATTAGAATCTATATGAGGCAGATCCACAGCTAGTGTAAAATGTCATCGTTTAAAAAAAGACTAATTTTGTACTAATGAAAAAATGTGTGCAAATTCCTTATCACTCCATGCATTCCTTTTTCCAATTAACCTGAACCCAAATCCATCAGGACGTCACTGGAGCCAGTTTTGCTTTGTGGTGTTTTGTGCCCTGAAAAGATCAAAACAGATGTTTTTCATGTACTTGGTACAGTTCTACTCTCTAGAACCTTTTGGCTGAGGATCTCCAAGTTCTTTTCAACTATTAACTGGTTAAGCCTGCTGTCCAGTATATGGGGAAACTGAGGCATAAAAAAGGGTGAGTGACTGGCCTCATATCTTAAGTCAGCTGGAAGAAGAACCCAAATTTCCTGCCAGTCCGGTGCCATACTCACTAGATCAGGCTCACAAAACCCAAAAGCTGTGCTAGGCTCTGGTATTGACCTAGGCTTGTTCAAACAGTTTACAAATCTTAATGAACCTTTCAGTGAACTCGAATGGTTTTGAGATGCCAAGTTCAAAATCAGCCAAATTCTTGGTTTTGGGTTTCATTGTGAATGCTTTGCACAGCTCTGCTGACCACAGGGTTAGTATTTCCTTGTTCAAAAGTAGTAGTTTCGCAGATCAAAAGCAGCACGTGTTGGCCAGGGGAAAAAAAACCATCACTTTTGCAAAGTTATTGTAAAGTGCTTTCTATAATTTGACATTGTGATGTGGGAGAAAAGTTCAAAGCTAGAGTGCAAAAGCCTCAGTGTATACAATAAACTCCTTTAAATCTACTTAGTGGTGTCTGCATTTAAGTGTGGTGGAGACTCAGGTGAAGAAAGAACACAGGGAAGGATGAGAATATAGTTTAGGATTTGAACAGTAAACTTGTGGGCAAGTATTAAATCATGCTAGATTGTTGGGGAGCAAATGCCAGAAATTTCTCTTGTCAGCTGAATAAAACTTTTTTTGTGTGTGTGTGTTAATTTTTGCTGTTATAGGCTTATGAGATGAAAATGAAAAGGGCTATCAATCCATCTTCAACCTTCTTATCCACTACCCTAGATGTTTTGGATAAAGCCCTGCATGGTGGAGTGGCCTGTGGATCCCTCACAGAGGTAAAATTAATATTTACAGTTTTTACTGCAGTAGCGCCTAAATGCCACAACCTTTAGTGGGGGTCCATTTGGGCATTATATAAATGTATAATAAATGACAGTTCTTGACCCAAAGAGCTTTCAGTCTAAAATGTATATGTGGGACTCTTCACTCGTACAGTATGTTAAATATATTTTGCTTCCACTTTTCAAGGTAGGTAGGACAACAGTATTTAAGAGATGTTTGTGATTATCTTTTCTGCTTAAAAAATTGCTGTTTGAAAATTCTCCTAATGGTCGTAAATGATAAACACTTCATATTTTTTGTAATATGAATGCACCACTCGCTGACACTTTCGAGTGAGGAAAGTTAAATTTTGTAAACAGCTAGTCAAATGTAATTTTGTAACATGATAGAATAGGACCATAGCATATCTGTTGGTTAGAGCTCAAGACTTGAAATCATGATTTTATTCCTGATCTGACATTGACTTGTCATGTGACCTTGGCAAGTCACTCTTTCTCTGACTACCTTAGTTTACCTATCTAAGTTACTAAAGATATAATGGACCATTACAACAAACAGAAGTGTAAGAATGCAAGGATGAAAATTATTTTTATAAGGAGGATCATGTGTAGCTAAGGCTGTAAAAAAAATTTTATAACTTTATTATTTGAAAAATACATATGATAATGTAATTAAAGACTGGATTGTAATGTGTATGCACAACAGGACAGAATTAAAGTTGTATGTAAACCCTTAACTTTGTCACTTTCTGACTTTTAAGTTTAACTTTAAAGTTTTCTTAACAGAGCTTTTGGCATGGCATTTCCTATGTGTGTGTTAAGATAGAGCTTCATTATCCAGTACTTAGAAACTATGCTGTCTTGCAAAAAGTTGCCAGTAATTGATATACATTCTGTAATTTGCAATTTGCAATGTTGTAGTAATGTGTAATGACAGAATTTGGCAATATAAGGTGCATACAAATTGCTCCCTTAAACTTTTTGTACCTTTTGAATCATTCAGGGGCTGAGGTAAGCACTTCTAGTGACCTTGTTCTCTGAAAACATCCACTCAATGTGCATCGGCAGTCAAAAAAGTGAACAGAATGCTGGGAATAATTAAGAAAGGGATAGATAAGATGACAGAAAATATCATGTTGCCTCTATATAAATCCATTGTACACCCCCACATCTTGAATACTGTGTGCAAATGTGTCTCCCCATCTCAAAAAATATATATTGGAATTGGAAAAGGTTCAGAAAAGGGCAACAAAATGATTAGGGGTATGGAATGGCTTCCGTATGAGGAGAGATTAATAAGACTGGGACTTTTCAGCTTGGAAAAGAGCCGGCTAAGGGGAGATATGATTGAGGTCTATAAAATCATGACTGGTGTAGAGAAAGTAGATAAGAAAGTGTTGTTTACTACTTCTCATAACACAAGAACTAGGGGTCACCAGACGAAGTTAATAGGCAGCAGGTTTAAAACAAACAAAAGGAAGTATTTCTTCAGACAACGCACAGTCAACCTGTGGAACTCCTTGCCAGAGGATGTTGTGAAGGCCAAGATCATAACAGGGTTAAAAAAAGAACTAGATAAATTCATGGAGGATAGGTCCATCAATGGCTGTTAGCCAGGATGGGCAGGAATGGTGTCCTTAGCCTCTGTTTGCCAGAAGGTGGGAATGAGCGACAGGAGATGGATCACTTGATGATTACCTGTTCTGTTCATTCCCTCTGGGGCACCTGGCACTGGCCACTGTTGGAAGACAGGATACTGGGCTAGATGGACCTTTGGTCTGATCCAGTAGGGCCGTTCTTATGTTCTTGTCTCAACCCATAAATATCTTAAATAGATTGATAACAAGTTGCTCAATATCCATCTACCTTCTTATACTGTGCCCATCACTTAAGTATCCAAATGCCTGCTCTCCTTAACCCCTGCACACCTCACAAAGTATGTAGGAACCCTCCTTCAACCCTTGCATTTTTTTAAGCTGCCAAGGTGCTAAGGGAGGCCTCCTAAGCACTTTAAATTGCATAGGAACCCACAATATATTTGACTAGATTCGATGCACTTGAAGTAAGTTAAAAACCCTACTACTCGGTATGTAATTTTCAAATGCTCAGAGCTCAATCAAGTCCAAACCAATTTTCTCTGGATCACTGACAGTCACTTCTACTCAGTAAGGGCCATTTCCATGCCAAATTTCAAATTTCAACTCAGACATTGTGGTTGTAGAGCTGTACAAATAAGAAGATTGCAAAAATTCTTTTATCACAGGGGAAAGTATATTTTTCCACTCTTCATAATTCAACATGACTGAACTGTTTTTGCTCAAACTTAAAAAGAAATCACCTTTGAAGCATGAAAGTAATAAGTGAAAATGGGCTGGAATGAAAACGGTATTGCAACTTAAACTGTAGTGGTTTCTGCTTCAGTAAATGCTTATATAACAGGGTTGGGGCTGTGACCTTAGAGACATGAAAGAGACCTGTTTTCTTTCTGCTCCAGGTGTAGACTGATGCACAGATTATCTCCATAGAAGTGCTCAAGAGGGTATCTTGTGAATTTATTTTGTCCCTCATTGAATTAATGAAGGTTTTTTCAGATGTGGGTATTGATACCTGTGTTGATAACTGGCCATAAGGGGGTCATGTTGCACAATCCTGCCTGAAAGTGATCATCACTGTGGCTTAGACTGCATTAGGGAAAAAGAGCAATGTTTCATGGCTGGCTAAAGATGAAACAGCTGCTCTTTGGGCAGATAGAACTAGTACTGAGTCAGATGGGATCTTGAGACTATGCAGATGTCCTCAATAGTGGATGAGCACTCAATTCCTGAAAATACTTCTCTCTGTCTAGCAGTAACTGTGGTTACTCACCTGGGTTAAATCAATGCTTTTCATCCAGATTTTAGTTTCCTCCAGACACTGGGACAGTTGGTGAATTCAACACTATAAATGTTTGAGAAGGAGATTGCAGAGCTACCTTTTATCAGATTATTGATGACACTGGAGCCACTGGTATCTCCCAGGCTCCACTGTGATTATGAATGAGAGGTGACAGGAGTGAGCTATGAGGGATTGTATAAGTGAGCACTCAGGGATAAGGAAAAAATACCTGTCATGGTTCTGGGATCTGTCTAAGAGGAATGAGCAAAACCAGCTTAATGTGGCTCTACATCATGCTGAGTTCCTGTAAGTGAGTTAGAAGTACCTCATGATCAGTATAAAAGGCTGCTGATAGATTTAATAGCATTATCTGGGATGCTTGTCTTTTTCCTTCAGCCATAAAGTGACTGTCATTCAGCTTGACCAATACATTCTCCAGGCCATACCTTCACCTGAAGGAGGGCTTTTAGATATTAGCAGAGATTAGGTTTTGCTGGAATTGGCTAGCTACTATCTTTGACCTTGCTTAAGATTAAAGAGATTAAAGACAAGTGGTGGCTACTGAGTCAGTGGGAGTTTTGCTTGAGTTAAGAGACTAAGTTATGAATTCTGCGTCACAGAGTTACAGAATTTAGGACCAGAAGTCATTGATATTCATTTTTGGTCTTTATCTCCATGCACAAAGTGCTGCTGCAGTAGCAAATGATGGGTCCATTTTGTGCCAAAGGCATAAATTTTCTAAGGTGGGCTCAGAGAATGCTCTTTTGGACATGAATACAGATGTACAGTTTTGGAAAATTATTTAAACGTTTTGTAGATCTTTAGGGCCACTTTCCGGTTGGGTTAATTATCACATTGCCTAATGCCCTAATGCAGGTACTTACAGTACATTAAATCTGTGCATTATAGTACTGACTACATGACATGCTGAAGTACATGTCTTCAAAAGAGACACCTATTAGCTTAGACTGGAATTGCACTTGGAATCTGCTCTACAGCAGTAGGCTGGCCTTGGCTGCATTGCTGCTCCAGGGTAATTATATTATATTGTCAGTATTGCACTCCTAAACGTTAAAAAATCACGAGTCGGGCCCCAGAAAATCATGAGACTGGCTTGAAATCATGAAATTTATGAAAGAAAATATAGGGCTCTTTTTATTTGCCTTCTAGGTTTTGAATCTTTAGGGAGCACTTGGGTCACTTTTTCAGGCTTTTCTTCACAAGCATAGTAAAACATTGGTTTTTATTTAAAGTAATCTCCAAAACAGCAAAAGCTGAGATTTTCACTTAATCACTTGACTGCAGGACCCAGGGCTTTAAGAAAAACACCAGATATCATGAGACTTTCAACAAAATCTCAAGAGTTGGCAAGACTGCAACTCTTCTTTGTTTAGTATTAATATAGGTGTTAGTATAAGTCTATCCGCATTCTATTGCTGCTGCTTAATTATGGAGGTGAAGCTTACAAAGAGTTCAGGTCCCAGTCTACAGTACTCTGTATTAAGTCAAGTGATCCTGCAACCTTTAATCTCTCTGATCTGCACCTCCTCTATTAAAATGAGCACCCCAGTGAGCAACATACTAGAAGTTCTTGGGCCATGGCACAGTTGACCTGAATGTTGCACTTGGGATACTTTTGCTTTTAGACAGTTGGTTCAAGCCTGGGAGAAGTTCTCACAAAGCATGTTTCTTGGAGCATGTTTCTTCCCCGTTGGTGTGGGTAAAGCTTTTACTGTTTTCCTTCCCATTCCTCTTATACTACGCAACAGCAATTGTGGTTTGAAATTTGGAATTTGAATACATGAATCATGAGAGGATGTCAGTGGTATCTCTACAGCCAAATCTTGTCCTAGCTTTTTGAGTGCCAGAGGCAAATGACTTACACTGTTCTGGCTCTGACACCTTTTTCCAAATCACCAGTGGTGTTTAGGTTAGAAATTAATCATAACTGAAATTTTGTGTTCAAATATCAGAACTTTTGACCAAATCGTTTGAGCAGAAATTTGGTTGTGGCTATTTGAATGTTTAATCCCCTGGGTAACTCTGAAGGAGAATTATCTCCTCAAGACCTTGCCTTCTCCTCCATTAATCTCCCCCCCCCTCACAACCCTTCCCCAAAACCCTGTTCAGATGTGCCTGGGAAAATAACATATAATGTACTGAAAAAGAAAAGTGCATTTTTTTAAAAGTACAGACACATTAAATACTGTTGTAGTTCTGAAATCTCTATTATCAGGGTGGACTCTTGATTTCAAAACCAAGCTTAAAAAAAGACAAACTCATGGACTTTAAGGCCAGAAGGCCATCATAATCATCTAGTTTGACCTCCTGTGTATTGCAGGCCACAGAACCTCACCCACTCACTCCTGTAATAGACCCACAACCTCTGGCTGAGTTACAGAAGTCCTTAAATCATGATTTAAAGATTTCAAGTTACAGAGAATCCGCCATTTACACTAGTTTAAACGTGCAAGTGACCTGTACCCCATGCGGCAAAGGAAGGTGAAAAAACCCCCAAAGTCTCTGCCAATAATCTGGAAAAGAAAAACAAGCTTTCCTGCTTTTTCAGGTCCCAAACAATTTCTCAGTTTGGAATGAATTAGTCCAAAGGAAGAAAATATTCTTTCTACACTGGCAGAAGAAGCTACCGCTGTTAAAAGTGAGATTATCACTTCAACCGTCTCTGAATCCAAGTGCTTAAGTGACTTCCACCAGTTCACTGGTGTGACTTTCTTTAAAACAGCATCAGCAAACATATATTTCTTGAATGGTTCACCCTTAGCTCTGAAGTTTATTATAGTTGGCATTATGGAGGGATGATTGCTGGATGTCCATGTCATAGCCAACTCCTCTTCTTCAGCAGTTAAGGTTTGACCCTGGTACCGAGTATTGAGAATATTTGCAAGAAAACAAGCTGGTGATCGCGCTTGTCCCATTCATTTTTTTAATGCTTGTAATTTAACTCTGTCATTGCATATTTCTCTTTTTGAGATCTCACTCAGTTCCTTCCAGATTTCAACAGGGTCAGCAATAAAACAGCTATTTCCCTTCATTTTGTTCAAGGTTACAGAAATAGGTTTCAGGGTACTCAGCATGGTTCAACATTTCTCTTAAGCCCAGTGCTGAAAACTTTGGTTGTTACAGTGTGTGGCAGGGCAGGGGTAAAACCCCCTTTAAAGCCCTGCCAAAATGCTGGCTGCAGATGGCTGTCTGGTCAAAAGGCCAGGTAGGGAGACATGGGTATGCAGCTGTAAGCCCTAATGAGGGCTAGCTCAGAGCAACAAGCTGGGCCGAGTGGGAACAGCTGGGCTAAGGACTGGGACGGCTATAAAAGCCCTGGGAAAGCCTCAGTGAGGGGGTGGACTGGGAGGAGACAGGAAGGTTGTTTCCCTGTCTTCTTACCTACTGGAAGGAACCTCAAGGGCCAGAAGACCCTGGAAGGGGTCTTGGTGTGATTGTTGTTGGGGGAATCCAGGACTGCACAAGAACACTGTAAATAGAGACACAAAGGTGAAACCACTGAAGAAGGTGGTGGGACTCTTTATTGTATGAGCCTAAACACAGGGTGCAGGCACAAAAGTGGGAGTGCCGGCACAGACCCTGTGACACAGTGCCATCTATTTTTTCCCGATTTTGTTCACAACTTGTCATCAGATTAGGCCAGTTCTTGATACAGTGCTCAAAACAGTCCACTGCTGAATTCTATCGCACGTCTTGTGGGAGAGTTAGCTTGGTTCCTCCCACTTTTTTCAGAGCAGCTGCTGCAAAGTGGTTGTTATGGAAGTATTTTGCCATTTCAACAACATTAGCCTTTATTTCTGGAACACTGAAGTCTTTGGCTAGGGGGTGCATCAAATGAGCACTGCAACCATATGTAATTAGCTTGAGACTCTCTTCTAAATTTCTTCTCATCTTGGATACATCTGTAGCATTGTCTGTGACCAAGCTGCATAGTAGTCATATGAATTTTTTTTCAGTTTGTTATAGCTTTTACTGCTACTTCTTGAAAGTATTCTGCTGTGTGTGCATTTCCTGATGTATCAATTGTTTCTGTAAGGAAGACATTCCTTTCTTCTGTTGACACACACGCACATACAACAGGATCATTGTGGACATTGCTCCACCCATCAAGATTCAGGTTAACAATTTCACCCTCTAGACCTTTTGCACACTGCTCAATTTCTCTTTCATACACTTTATCTAGCAATTTGCCTGCGACATATGCTCTGTTTGGGTGGACTGTATCCTGGTCTTAATGACTGAACCATGTTAATGAAGTGTGGGTTCTCCGTCATATGGAAAGGAGAGTTTGCTGCATAAACAAACTGGGCAATTTTTTCATCAATTACCTCTTTGTAATCTACTGCTTCTTATCACAAACTTATCTATGGTTGTTTCTGGATGATGGAGTTTTGCCACAGGTGGTATACTGTGGCTATGTGACCTACATGGTGTGACTGAAACACCATAATTGGCAGATAACTCTGAAACTATAGAAAATGATGGTGATCTTGAAGGTGGATAGTCTTCAGAATCCTGTATATTGAGGATGGATTCTCCTAAACAAAATAAGTCAATGCAATTATTTAATTATTATTACCATACTGCTCATTTAGTATTACTCATTGCATTCACTGACACTCAGTACTACTTTAAAGCTCAAATTGTAAAAGGAAGATCTGCTTATTTCAGCTATTTATTTTTTATCACAGCTGCATCTAAAATGATAGTACCACAGAGTAACAACTATATTTTTTGCTCAAACATGAGAATTCAAGAATGGTCCAGAAGGAAGGCAGGCAATCCTTAAGAAAGAAGTATGAAACACAAAAGTTTACCAACCTGAAGATCCTGCATGTTCAGACATGTTCCTTTCATCATCTTCAACGCAGCGTCCTCCTGAGAAGGAACACTTCTCCTGATGTTGTTTCATTCGGGCAACCAGGCCTTGCATTTCTTTGTTGCACTGTTTGCATTTTGCATGTATGCCTGTCTTACCCGCAGGTAGAGGAACTTCATTAAAATATTCCCAAACTGGGTCTCTTTTATGGCCTGCTGCCAATATGGGTTTTCCCTTCTAGTGAGAGAATGGTATATAATAGATCTCAAATCAATGAAGACTACACTCAGAAGGACCTCAAGACTTCTGGAATATGCTGCTCAAACAGTTTCACTTTTGTTTCTACTGCCTGTCCCTCCCTTCCCACATTTATCTCCAGGCTTCTTCTCCTTGTCCAGATCTATTCCGCCCCCAACAATCTTTCTATTCATTGAACTTTTTGAAACTTTGCACTTTTAGAGAGAGGTACGGGATTGACTCTGTGTAGACAAATTTGCAGAGGGACAATAGGGTTGATGTCTGTTATTTCTCACCTCTATATATTATTTATTTATTTTAAAACATTTTTGCTGTTAACAAGCATGTTATCTCTGGAGACACAAATCCACAGTTTGAGAACTGCAAAACTAAGCATCTCTGATGGTATCTTCTAGACTGAGCACTGAGTCCCATTGGGTAGATAGAAAGATTAACCTAAATAATCTATACAGAAGCTCCTGGAACCCCATAAGCTTGGGTCCCTAATCCATGAACTATTGGAACTCCTTTACAAAACTTCTCTTAAACATTATATGACTATATTGTCTCATTAGAATTTATAATCCCTCTTCCATGATGAGATATCTTTGAGCTATAATGTATCTTAATTAAAACTATCTTTAGATAGGTTTTTTCCACAAAAAGCATTTTATCAAAAAAATCCAGTTTAAATAAAAAAAATCTGATTTTTTTTTAAAACCATTGATTTTTATCCACCCTGATTTTAACCTATTATGCATCCCTATTTCTTTAGACCAGGAGTGTCAAACGTATAGCCCTCTGACCAGATGCAGGCTGCTTGATGTACATATGTGGTGGCTTCCAAAAGTGACCTGAGTGTAACTGATGTAGTGATGTCTGTCTGAAACAGTGACTCGGGTTGTGAACACGTTGACTCCCTTTATAATCTCACTGGAATGTCAGTTCTAAAACTCAGTAATGGAACTTCAGTAACAGCAGTAATTATTTTGTTGCTGATCAATTTAAGAGATGGAAAGACAAAGAGGATAGGAGTGAAGCCCATAGGGGAGAGAACTGGGAGTGGCTGCAGGGAAGGCAATGCAGAGGGAAGAACATAAGAGACTCACGGTGACACAGCAGAGGGAGTGAAATAGAAAAAAGAAGATGGGAAGGAAGTGAAACAAAAGGCAGGAATACCACTAGTCCTGAAGCTGAGTGTATTTTCTCATCGAGTGATACTGAATATGACAATAATGAACAAATAAAAAATGACAAATTTAGTCACCACATAAAGGCCATACCTAACCTTTGTGTAAACTCCTCGCTGATATCAGTGGGAACTGTGTTGTAAATTGAAGAGGGGTGCATGGAGTCCTAACTGCTTATTCTGACGCAGGGGCTGTAATTAGGCCCTTTTTCCCAATGAGTGTAACACCCCTAGTTTATATGAATACTTTTCTTTTTAGGTAACCGGCCCAGCGGGTTGCGGCAAAACTCAGTTTTGTCTTATGATGAGTGTACTGGCTACTCTGCCTATCAGCATGGGAGGACTAGATGGGGCTGTCATATACATTGACACAGAGTCTGCATTTGGTGCTGAAAGGTAAGAAGTATATGTTCTAAAATAATACTTTCAGTTTCTCTAGCACATTTTATCACACAGCCTTAAAATGTTTTCCAAGCGTTAATTAATTAAGCATCACATCTCTGTGAAGTAGGGAGCTATTTTGCAAATGGGGAAGCTGAACTGCATAGTCTGTGACTTCTGATATATTCACTGTACATTGCCCCATAATATATCATAAAGTTTGCAACTAAAAAACTACATGTCCAATTTTTTTCATTTTGCATATTAGTTTCTGGAGTTAGCAGGGAAATTTTTGGGAGGCAGAGTTTCACTAAATGAATCTTTTGAATACAGGAGAGATCTTAGATCTTCTAGATAAGAGGTTTCAGGAACTTGGCCTGTGTACTGGATGTGCTGCTGTTGATGTATTTCATGTGGCCTGACTCTTCAGCATCTGAAGTATGTGTATTTATGTGACTCAGATCTCCAGCATCTCAAGTTTTCATTTAAAAGAAAAAAGGAAAAAGTGTGACCTAGATACGTCTTGGTGCCAACTGGCAGAAGGCACAGGGAGTGCACAGGGGTTTACAGGGATCTATGGGCCAGATATGTGCATAATTGTTCACCAAAGAGTGGTATGTGCAGTCTCTACTGAGAGCCAATAGCCCACTGGTTGACATAATCATTGTGAAATGTATATATAGATAATATTTAAGGCATATGTATCTATATTAAAATCTATGTTCTTAGGATGTTGGCATTAAGGCAGGTCACATACCTCAGAAAATTCCTTTCAGTCAGGAGGCAGCAGTCACCTATCTCCTTGTCTGGTCATTTCTGTGTATTGTATGCATCACAATATAGGCCTAATTGCATATTGAGCCACAGGCAAGAGAGGAGAGTGTGAAATTGATAGGAGAGGAAATTGACAAAGGATTGTTAGGGTCTATGTCTGGGTACAAGGAAACACACAGGATCCTTCACCTAGGAGGCAAGCTGACAGTGTGTCTGTCTCATGAAAGGAGGGTCACAACTAATCTGTCTGTGAAATGTTGCAACGGTATTGGGAGAGTAATATTCTGCAAGACAGGAGAGTATCTTATTAATTAAGTCTAGGTCTAGAATGCATGCTATGATTTTGTTTTATATGTAACTGTTTCCAATGCTCCTACTTGCTATTACTTGAATCTCTATGCTTTATTAAATAAACTCATACTTGATTTCACTAAAAAAAAATCTAAGTGGTGTGTGTTAAACGGAGCAGTGATCTGAGGTGGAACTGGTAAGATGGGGTGTACTGGTTTTTTTGGAAGCAGCAAATCTGTGAACACTGCAAGTGTCCAGTAGACCTGGGGCTGAACACTCCAGGGAGGCGCTTGGAGGGCTTGAGGATAGGCACAGTCTAATCATTAACCTATAGAGAGAGAGCAAGGCCTAGAAGGGAGTGCTTATGTTGCCAGTGGCCAGTGGAGTAAGGAGCTGACCCATGGCAGGGACAGGTGGTAGCAAAGTGCCTCTCAACTCTGGGTACTCCCAGGAAGTGTCACAGTAAAGTTCTAGCCCCCATGGTTGTCAGGTTAACCTTGCAGATGTTTGAAATTAGTGCAAACTGATGCAGTGTTGTCTTTCTGAGTCGACAGATGGTCTGAAATAGTTGTACTGAAAAGTATGAATTCCACTGCCTCTATTAATATTAATGTGCTAACTTGGATGATGACCAGTTGCATATAAGCACTGACTTTCATTGCAGATCATCCTGTCGGAGGGTGGGAAATGGGGTGGGAGTGAAGCCCAGTGCGGGCTGCAGTTGCTGTAGTGATGCAAATGCAGAATGAAGAAAGGAAAAATGGGACACACACACACACACAGATATGGAAGTGGGAAAGAAAGAGAGAGGAGGATGGGGAAGGGAGAGAAACACTTCAGAAATAGCAGTGTTTCTAAATGTGAGAATATAATTTCCACTCACCAATGCTAAATGTGATTTAACAGAGACTAATGGTATTTAAAAGTTTTTTTTTACTACAGACAGGCCATAAACTACATTTGATCTTTGATCAAACCTCACATTGACATGCATGGAAAATCCACAGAGAGCTGAAGATCATATGTAGTACTGAGTTTAAATATGTACCATCATAAAAGTGGAATTCAGTCCTTTCCAAAATTCACTTTAACATAACTGTTCTAGAAATGTCAGGTGAAAAAGGGCAAATATCAAGCGTATTTAATAATAATTTTTAACAAATAGATAAGCAGGGAAAACCTTTCCTGTCATTCTTTATCTAGACAAAAATTCACTGTATCAGAAAGTCAAGGATAATGTTCATAGCCCTGCTGTATTTTAGGAATAGGGGAAATGGAAGTATATACTGTATCTGCTGTGCCACAGGCTTTGGTCCATGCTTCATGAAAAAGACACTCATAGGCAGTTGGCGAACTCCCCCACCCTCGCCCCTTTGAGACATTCTTTTTGTCTTTCTGGTTAGGAATTGGTCAGATGGTGTGAAAGACTTAGTTCAGGCACCGCCCCCACAATGTTGCAACTTTCTCACACGGGTGGGAAAAACACCTCCCTGAGCACTGCAAGTTTCAGTGCTGTAAAGTGGCACTGTAGACAGTGCACCAGCGCTTGGAGCCACTCCCCTTCTGGAGCTCTGTCCCAGTGCTGGTGCCGCGACTACATGGTAGTGCATGGCAGGCTGGGGTGTAAATCTACAGTGCATAGTTTGCTGCCCACAACTGACCATGATGTAGGCCATATTACTATGCACTAAAAGTTAGTGCACTTTGACTTACTACTGTTTAAACAAAGTGCACTAGGGAGCTTTTAGTGCATGGTAGAAAAGTCCACTTGCAGGTTTGTGGGCTGTAGATTTACACCCCAGCTTGTGGAGTACTAACTCTCTGGGTGGCCAACCCTTAACTTACTCCTGGGGGAATTCTGCGGGACTGTGTGCCTGCAGAAAATGCCCCTCCCACCACACAATTCCTGTGCTTCCCTGCAGAAAATGGCAGGGAAGCAAAGGGAAGCCACGTGGGGGGATGATCATGGGTGCCGTTTTGGGGGGGGATTGCCTCCCCCAAACAGAGGTGAGGCTAGGGGGCGTACACAAGGTTATGTGCCACTGTCCCCCCCCTCATTTCTGCAAGTGCAGAGCTGCCCAGCTGAAGGAGGCTGAGTCTAAGGGATACTGAACTGGAGCTGAACGCCGCCTCCTGGGTCCTAGTGCCAGTCATACACTTCTTCTGTGTGCTGAGAGCCTTCCTGTTTTCTGTGCAACAGTGAGTGACTGTGGTGGGGCTGGATAAGGGAGGGTGGGGGAAATGGGAGAAGTGGGGGTGAGGGGCTCGGGGGAAGAGGCAGTGGGGAAGGAAGGGGAGGTGGAATAGGGAAGGGAAATGTGGGAGTGAGGGGAGGGTGATGGGGCAGTGGGTGAGGGGAATGAAATAGGGAAGAAAAGGGGCTAGGGGGAAGTGGGAGCCTGGCATGCAGCATCCCCTCGGCAGCAGTTGGGGCTCCCCTGTTAAGCAGGCCCATCAAACCCTAACCCTGACAAACCCTACCCCCGTAAATCTGGACCCCTCCCACTAAGCCCCCCACACCCAGACCCTGCTGATGAGCGCCATCTCCCCACATCCAGACTCCCACTGCTGAGCCCCAACCACGTTCACCTGGATCCCCTGCAGAGTTCCATTGCCCTGGCATCCAGGATTGGATACCTAAGCAATGCACTGTTGCAAGCTTCTTCAGCAGTTTGTATAATTTAAAATCATAATTTAAATAATAATAAAATCTTAATAAATAATAAACAATAATAAATCATAATAAAAAGCCATATCAATGCAGTGGATATTCTGCATCTTCATCAACAAGCTGTCACTAGAACAGGTAGGTGAAAACATCTCTGTTAATACAGTAAACTGAAGTTGTTTTCAGTTACGTTCTTATTTTTTTGTAGCAGTTCAGTACAAAAGTAACCAGTTAGTGACTGAGGAATCTGTACTATATTTGTCTACTGAGTGTATGAAAAGCATGTTCTCTGTTTGTTCTTTCTTTATCTATGTTTATGGTTTGTGAAAAACACTGGATAAAATCACTGGAAACCAAAGCCAAAGGCATTGTGAGGTTTTCCACCCTGTCTGGGTAAAATGCCTCAACCCTGGTCTTCAGGGAATACAATTAAGCTCCTTTCAGTCCTTGGCCTCTCATAATGAATAGTAATCCTTAGCTCTTACAGAACTTTGCACCTACACTGTGCTGTGCAAACATTAACTACATCTCCCTGAAATTGCCAGTACAGATGTCATTTTAGATTAATCATACTGGTGTTTTTTGTGATGTGGACACCTGTCCTTTAGGAGGTGGATTGAAGCCAGCAAATCTTTCATCCAGACCACTCACTGAATGGCTGCCATATGATAACATCACTCCTTATGAAGAGTGTCCTATCCAGAGTAAGAAAATAGTGGTGTTTTAGAACCAATGTACATGTTAGCAAATATATTTTAATGTTTGTAGCCATCACTTAACACCTTCTGTCGAAGCGCTGAACACCTTTAAAATGTATTAGGCAATGTGAAAAAAACAATGCTTTTACCCTGCTCTAGACAGGGCCTTGGGTTAATAATGAGTTGAACAAGACCCCGAAGCTCTGTTCCACTTTGACAAACAGAAGAGTGCGGGGAGGGATGCCCTCTCTTGAGAGGGAGGCCAGTATGTCAGGTAGTTGAGTGAAATTTCCCCTTTTGACCAATATTCCTTTGGTCTTCCCTGGGTTGAATTTGAGCTGCTTCTCATCCAGGTGTTGATCTCCTGTTGGCCTTGTGATATCCTTGTTATGGCATGGTTGCATATGTGAAAAATGAGTTGTTCATCCAGGTGTCATGGACATGTTTTTTGCAATGAAGCCTGTGCCTTCTCATCAGCTTTCAAACTGTAAATGAGAGTAACTCATGTGCCGAAGGAGGTGAGGCAGGATGGATAAAAATAAAAAGTATTTGTTTGATTTAAATTGGATATCTTTTATTGATTTGATTGAATTAGATACATTTTAAAAATCTATTTAAAATTAAATTTGAAATTATGATAATTTGTTAAGGTCTAAATTTACTATAATCTTTTAAAACCAAGTAATTGAAATAAAAAAATAGACAAGCAGTACATGTTTGCTGTCCAAGTTGTAAAGAAAGTCAGACCCCTGACTGGTGAAAGTCACTGGCTAAAAACCTGGAACCAGAGTTTGTTGAATGCCAAACCAGCTTTTGACAGCAGTAGCTTTTTTTTTTGTAGGTACAAAGAGAATATTTTCTTCGTGCCAGTTTATTCAGCTAGATCAGTTGAATGACTAGTTCATTCAAAGTTCAGAAACCGATTGGGAGCTGAAAAAGCAGGAACGCTTGTTTTCCTCTTCCAGTCTATGAATTAAAATGAGGTGTGAGAGAATGAGATTTACTGGTTCTAAAATCTTGAAAGACATTGTGACTACAATCAATTCAATTCACTAATTACAGATAACGTTATCTTTGTTTAATAAATTAGTTCATTTTAAAAGCAAAACATGTTTTTATAAACTACTTTTTCCCTTAGGTATCCAGCACATCTAAGATAGTTTTAACTAATAAAAATAATTTTACAGTGCTGGTTTTGTGCATTTTTAAATAAATTCAAATTTTCAGCCAAAGGCAGCTAATCACAAATCACGAGTAAAAAAAAAAAATCATTTTGTAAATAAGAAATGAATCAGTCATTGTTTTCTAATATAAAAATTAAGACTCTGAATACATGTACCTTAAGCTATAAAAAAATTAATTAAACATATATAGATATAGTGTATCCTCCTGGTAAGCAAAAAGAAGTACTAAATTATACCAACCATTGAGAAACAAACTTTCTTTAAGAAAATAACTAAAAAGTACAAATGCAAAATAAGTTAAAATTGATTATTTAAACCAAGGTATCCTGCTTGCTGATTTAAATCATGATTAAAATTGGTGACTTCATTCACTTTGATTTAACTCCATCCTACCTAAAATGAACTAGGAAAAGCTAACAGAAGGACTTGCCTTACTTCCTTTTACCTGTTGTTTTTTCACGCTACTTCCCCCTCAGCACTCAGCTTGCATCAATTTGGAGTTCAGTTGTGGTGCAGAGTGAGTAAGTTATTATTGAATATTGTTACAGTGCTCGCAATGTGCTGTGCAATATACTGGGCTAATTGAAAGACAAGGTCTCTGCCCTGAAGAGTTGGCTCTGATCTTCTAGATGCAGCAAGTAGTCTTAGTAGTAAATAGAGGAAGGAGATTAATGAAAAGGTTATGTTAGTAAGATTACACTGTTAGTCAAGATGTGAAAATGCCTAACCTAATGGTTCAATTAAGAGTTTATTTTTAAATAAAGTAAGCACAAATTATAATGAAAAGTAACATACATTTCCAAAATAGCTTCAGTTTTAATAATATTGTGATTTCTTGTAAAACAGAGGAACACATTTTATAATATGATTTTTATCTCAACGGTGCAGTGTTTGGGAAAAAATATCACCCACCAGATGTCACTCTCTTCATACATACAGTATGGAGTGTAAATACTACCGAGCAAAGTTAAACAGTTTCTCTTCCTTGTTCATTTTGAACATTGCAAAACAATTTACAATAATCATAGGGATCAAAATTTTTAAACACCAGTGCCTAAAGTTAGGCTCCTAAATCCGTATTTAGGTACCTAGATAAATGTGGCCTGATTTTTTTTTCTGTGGCTGATAATAGCCCACCTTAATTAATTGGTCTCCTTACAGTTGGTATGGCAACACCCATTTTTTCATGTTCTCTGTGTGAATCTATATCTTCCTACTGTATTTTCCACTGCATGCATGTGATGAAGTGGGTTTTCGCCCATGAAAGCTTATGCCCAAATAAATTTGTTAGTCTCTAAGGTGCCACAAGTACTCCTCAGTTTTTGTTTTCGTTTTCGTTTTGCTGATACAGACTAACACGGCTACCACTCTGAAAGGTGTTTGAGTCCTTCCAACTTGCACTGACTTCAGTGCAATTTGTGGGAGCTCAGCATTTCTAAAAATCATGCCACTTCCACCTCTGTACCTGAGTAATTTTAAGCACCTGAATTTGAAAATGTTGGCCTTTGAAGACTGAGAATTATTTAGTTTCAGAGTTGTGATTGTGGGTTTTTGTTTTTTTTCCAGACCCTGGGTTTTGAATATAATAATGTTTGGGACCAGGTGAAAAACATTCATTGTGCTCTGGATTTTTTGGTTTGATCCATTAATGAGATGCACTTACTAGCATAAGCAATAAGCAACTGCAAATCTTAATAATGACAACTAATGGACTGGATGGGTCAGGGACTTGCTAATGGGGTATAGAATATTTCATCTCTAGGCCACTCATTTAAATGAGTCAGTAGTATCTCAAAGTTGCTGTCATTTAAAAACTGTTAAGTGACCTATATCGGTGTTTCTTAACAACCGGTCCATGGACTGGCACTGCTCCCTGAGATCTCCCTGACACAGGTTAGGAAGGCAGCAAGCTGATCTTGGTATCAGAAAGATTGAAAAACACTGACCTATGTGAAGCGAGATGATGGTGAAAGACCTGTCTTAGTGACCCATCACAACCTCCTGCCAGCCATCTCGGGTAACCTCTTGGTTGGTTAACTATATTGTGTCTGTTTTGTGGTTAAACGGAATATTTTATTTGCTGGAGCTGTCCATCTAATGATCTTTCACTGTGGCCTGAAAAATACATTTCCCTTTTCTGCTTTAGGCTTTCACATGTCTTTTTAAAAATTGGGTAAGTGGCAAAATCAGAGAATTGTCCATTTGAGAGATTTTCATGCTGAAGCAAACTTTTAAAACAGCACATAAATGAAAAACCATTTGACTTGGTCAAGAACTCTCTCCATATCTGTGCTGCTGTTACCAATTTGCATTTGAATCATGATATCTTCCTCCCAGCTCCACCGTTTTGTCCACTGGATGTTGCAGTGATGTCATAAGCCTGTATATATTGACATCAGCTTATTGCCAAAGAAATTTCTGTGATGACACAAACTCAGCTTTATGACCTCACTACAGGGTTGAGGCAGAAGAGAAGATGATCTGGGATCATCAATACCCGTATTTAAATGCAAATATCATTGATAATCAGAACTATAGCAATAATACTTTGCACTTTAGTAGTGACTTTTGTACAAGAATCTTAAAGTACATTTCATTCAGGCCTGGTCTGCACTACAGAGTTAGGTCGATGCAAGGCAATTAACGTTGACCTAACTATGTAAGTGTCTAAAATTTTGCTCCTGCCAATGTAATTGCCCCACTACACCAACTTAATAACTCCACATCCACGAGAGGTGTAGAGTCAAAGTTGATGTAGTTAGGTCACTGCAGTGTCAGTGTAGACCAGGGGCAGGCAAACTTTTTGGCCTGTGGGCCACATCAGGTTTCCAAAATTGTATGGAGGGCCAGTTAGGGGAGGCTGTGTCTCCCCAAACAGCCAGGCGTGGTCCGGCCCCCGCCTCCTATCTGGGCCCCCCAGGACTCCTGCCCCATCCACCACCCTCTGCTCCCTGTCCCCTGACCACCCCCAGACCTCCCACTCCGACTGTCCCCTGATGCCCCATCCAACCCCCCCGTCATTCCTGACTGCCTCCCGGGGACTGCTGCCCCATCCAACCCCCCCTGTTCCCTGCCCTCTGACCACCCTGACCCCTATCCACACCCCCAACCCCTGACCACAGCCCCTGAACTCCCCTGTCCTCTATCCAACCCCCCTGCTCCCTGCCCCCTTACCGTGCTGCCTGGAGCACTGGTGGCTGGTGGTGCTACAGTCACGCCGCCCAGAGCACCGGGTCAGGCCGCGGCTCTGCAGCTGTGCTGACTGGCCGCCCAGAGCGTTGCGCCGGTGGTGCAGTGCGCTGAGGCTGCGGGGGAGGGGGAATAGCATGGGAGGGACTGGGGACTAGCGTCCCAGGCCAGGAGCTCAGGGGCTGGGCAGGAGTGTCCCACGCGCTGGATGTGGCCCATGGGCCATAGTTTGCCCACCTCTGGTGTAGACACTAAGTTGCTTACATTGACTGTTACTGACTTTCAGAAGCCATTCCACCATGCCCCTCACTGACAGTACAATCGATTCAAGTGTTTCTGGTGAAGAGACACATCGCTTACACAAGGAGCAAAATCTAAACACATACCAGTGATATAATTACTGTAGCGGCTGTATGCTGACCTAAGTTAGGTTGACTTATTTTTGTAGTGTAGACATGCCGGTAGTAACTAAACCTTACAATTCCCCTTTGACTTAGGGAAATGTTATTACTTTTATTTTATTCATAGAGGAGCTAACACAGAGAAGTGGTGTCTTGTCTAACTTCACTAACGACTCAGTGGCATAACTGGGAATAGAACCGTCATCCCCTGACTTCTAGCCCTCCACTCTGGCCGCTTGAATGTGCTTCCTCCTTGGAAAAGGAAGTCAAATTAGCTTAAAATCTACATCTGCTCACCCTTCCTCTATTTAGTTAATCAAATATCTCTTCCTTTGTGTACTTTGAATTTATGGGGGTGGTGGAAATGGTACAGGAAGGTTGCTGTCTTGTTAGCCCAGAATTTGCTGTGATGTGCCTTTTGAATTTTAACAGGTTGGTTGAGATAGCAGAACACCGTTTCCCTAATTATTTTGGCACAGAAGAAAAGTTGTTTTCAATGACCCGTAGCATTCATCTCTATCGGGAGCTCACCTGTGACAGTGTGCTGAAAAGGTATTGTTTGCTTTGGAGTGCAATGAGAAGCCCGTCATTGCTGAATGGTCTGTAATGAATGTAATGTTTTACATCTCAAGCTTTATGTACAGTAGTTCACTTCTTTGGCCTTTACATTTCAATAACTAGGCAAGTCTGACTAGATAAAATTAGTGCAAAATGACCAACAACCCTGTATCTTGATGCATGTATTTGATCCCCTTTATTCGGAAGGTTTTGAAAAAGCTTTCTGAGATGTCTCGTTTAGCGTATGACCAATTGATATTAATGTTGCTATTTTTATAATGCAGCAAACTCTAATACACAGCCAGCAAAATGTGGTTTGCAGGAATCCCTTCATAATCCTAGATGCAGCTCTGATGGAGTTTGTGCAGCTGATGGGCTCCTGGCTTTCTCTAGCTCAGATTAGGGTAGAGCAAAATCATCGAAGTGCCTCCTAATTATTCCTCCTATCTTCCTCCCATCCCCACATTATGAGGGAGGAAGAAAAGAAGATGGTGGGATCGTCCTGCAAATAGAGAGAGGAGCCCCACTCATGACTGTCATCCAGGAAAGCTTTTACATGATGATCCTGTGTTGCCATGTTACTTTGTCAACTTGTGATGATACGTTGTCATGAAGACAGGTTATGATGTGGCAAGGACGTTTTGCCATTCTTCTTGTGTGTATCTGCAAACATGTTAGTAGCAGACTACTTGTGCTGTATACTACCTACAGCCCCATCAGAGAGGATGAACTCTTAGCATATTATTAACCAAATATATTTTGACATGTATATTACATTGCAAGTATGTAGAAAGGGACCTGGCCCAGTGGCTGTAGAGGGGACCCACGGTGGTAGAAATGGGATGTTTCTCCTATGTGAGAAAGGAGACCGGGCACAACCTCTGTGTGTGCATATCTCCCTGATTACCCCCATGACTGCATGGGACAGAGCAGATCCATATTATGTGTCTCCTCTAACCCTCCACTTCGAAGGGGGGACTTTGGGATACAGGAGCTATGGCAGCCTGAGAGCTGTGGTAGTGGTTATGGAGCGGGATTCCTTCCCCCTTCCACATCTCCATAACCTAGCAACGGTGACTCTTGACAGAGGGGCTTGGCCATATAGAAAGGTTTTAGTATAATTTGGTGTAACAAATTTATGCTTCTAAAATATTTTTTGTGTGTTAATCATAATATTTATACAACTAACATCCCTCTGTCTGATGTTACTGCTTCACCTAAGTCAATACTTATTATTATTATTATCTTTTTTTTAAGGATTGAGACTTTGGAAGAAGAAATCATTTCTAAGAAGGTTAAGCTTGTAATAATTGACTCTGTTGCTTCAGTGGTCAGAAAGGAGTTTGATACGAAACTTCAAGGCAACCTGATGGAGAGAAGTAACTTTCTGGCTAGAGAAGCATCGTTGTTGAAGTACTTGGCTGAGGAATTTTCAATACCAGTAAGTTTTTCCTTTTTTTTTTTTTTTTAAAGTCTCTGGCCCACAGTATCATGTCATAAAATTAGAGAAGCATGAAAATGACAGGAAGATAAAAAACAGATGACCATTTTAACAGAGATGGACAAGCCAGTTACCGTAAGCACATCTGTGGAAAAAAAATCATTCTATTTGGACAGTTCAGTTGGTGACTTTGTTGTGTTTTCCTTAATATTTATTTCAGACTTTAGAGATGACTTTACAAGATTCTTTCTACCATTTCTTTTCAGTGTTTAATTTTCTTTAGCTTTTTGTAAGGCTGTTATCTGTGTTGCTTCAATTTGACTTGGCTCATTTAGTTCCATAACTTCCTTTTGACGCTGTCGTCTAAACTAGCAGTACTTCCAGTGCTTTTTGGTGAGTCTTACCTGCTGATGGTCCATTTCCTGCCCCTCCTGTTAAATTTTGTGGCGTCTCAAATGGAGGTTGGCTCTTCCAGGCCCAAGTTCTGTGATTGTGAGTTTGGGATCTGGAGCAGCGACCTTCCTTTATGAGTTAAAGTACTCACAGATTTGTGGCAGGAAGGTAGTGACAGTGCACCAGGACACAGGCTTATCAGTAAGCCTAGAGTACCACTCACAAAAAGCTTCAGAACCATACCAGGATTGGGTGAGGTTGATTAAAGTGGTATTACAAGATGTAATGGCTTTGAATGAAAGAAGGGAAAGTTCAGATATAAAGAAAAGCTTTTAATAGTAAGATCAATTTGAGAATGGAAAAAGTTGCCAAGTGATGTCAGAGAGACTCCACCAACAGAAATAGTCGAAGTATAAGAGAGTAAACTGCTGTAGAGACTTTAGAAATGTGAGGTCTTGTCCATCGGTAACTTCTGTGGTTTGTATAGCTGCCCTCTCAGTCAGAGTTATGCATATGTCAGGGGGAGAATCTATCCCTAGCTTAAGAGGAATTGGATTCTGTTTACTCTGTAAAATATCAAGACATTTGGATATCTTGAGAAAATTAAAAAACCCTGCATCTGTGCCTTGAAAAATTGTGTGCAAATGTAGTGTCCCAAATTCCTGCACCCAATGATATTTATAGAGCTAAAAAGAAGCCAGGAAAAATATGAAGTTTGCAAGAAAGTGTGTATTTAATGACACTTTTATTCATATTTAGGGAAAATGTGATGCAGTTCCCTGGCAAAGAAGAAGGTTATAAAGTTTATACTGGAAGATGTTCGTTTCTCTCTCTCATATTTTTTTAAATTTTGATTTTAGTTGTTAAAATGGTAAATTCGAGCTGGCTGTGAGCCATCCAGAGACCATGCTTATGGCCCTGCTTAGAAACAGGGAGACAGAATATTAATATTCATGGAGCTTCTAATGATTTACAGAGACACTGAATGAATGGAAAAGTTAAGGGTTGTGTGCTTATATTATTTATTTCATCCTTTGGACTTGTTTAACCCCATATAAACCATTTACAGTTGGTTAAACGAAAACAAAAGTTCACCATTTAAAGTTCTTCAGTGTATCCAAACTGCAGGGTAGTGTTTTGAGGTACGTATTATACCTGCTGTCTGTTGGTCCTTTCTTGATTTCAGGGTTCTGTCCATGTTTACCCATTAGAAACCTTCTGTGCAGAGGTTTAGAATTCCAGCCATAAATTTCTGCCTCTGAGTTAAACTTGATATTTGCAGCTTTGGACCAGGAGAGAATTTAAGTTCACAATTTCAAAAAAAAAAAAAATGTAAATGGAGGGTGTCAGAAGTCTTAGAACTATTAATAAAAAAGTTTGCCAAATTGTCATTTGAGCACTAGTAGTCCTCAATACCAGTATTGACTGATCAGTGGCTAATTTACTATTATAATTGCTTTTGAAATCTTGTAAAGAGAGTTGATTTACGATTGTTGAAATATTTGTCCTTAGAAATGGACTAAGTCAGAAAATACACCTCTTCATTGTTTTTACTCCTTATCATATCAATTATTATTGGCTAGTTTTTTGTATCAGTTCACAAGGTGAATGCAGCTGTCCTTTTATTGTCTGAATATGTACAGCACATGTATGGAGTTGCTAGGTTACATTAAAAATGTTTAAATTTGTATTGCACAAAAAACAGGAGGGTCCCCTGTAAATTAGCATATTAAGAAGATCGGGTTTTGGATGAGAGGATGTAGGAGGGGTCAGTAGCACTGTCTGTTAAGGTTGTCTGACACTTAGCATTACAAGACCCTTTTTTCAGTTGCTTTTAACTTTTCTAACTTTATCTGTTTGGACTAAAATTTTCTATTTTGAATGGTTGCCTCAAGCAGAATTTTTTTGGAAATTTCAGCTAAAAAAAGAAAATAAGCTTTTTGTTCATATTTAAAAAAATCTGGTGACTTTTTTTTTTTTTTTTTAAAAACAGCTCCAGGTCCACTATGCTTTGGAGTAGGGGTCTGGAATGGCTCAGAACTGTGAATGCCAGTCTCAGGTCAGACTGTCAGAAAACAGGGCGGACACCACAAACCGGTGGCATATTCTATAGTTAGATTTCACCAAGCCAGTAACAAATGTAATTTCCTGGATCACTATATTAGCATTACCATGGAGACAAGGACAATCCCCCTTAGACTCTCCAGCCTATCTTACCAGCCAGAAAACCGGACTTTGTGATACTAGGTTACTCCCAACTCCAAAGAATTAGTCACTTACCCCAGGTCAATGAATACTTTTGATCTTACATCAAGACAACGCTTACAACCAATTTCTCTAGTAAACTAACTAAAGGTTTATTAGCTAAGAAAAAGAAATGAGAGTTATCGAGGGATTAAAGCAGATAAAATACATTAACAGATAAGTCTAAATTTGTACATCCACAATGATAGTAGAGATGTAGTAATTTGCTAGTTTTCCATAAGTCTCTCAGAGTTACCCAAAATAAGTTTGAGGATCTCTCTCTTGCATCTGGAACACTTTCATTTGAATGTCCAAATAGTTCAGAGATACTAGATCCTTTTTTGAATTCATATTTATAGCTTTTCCACACAGAAAGCAATCTGATAAGTGTCTTTATTCCTCCATGTCCCCTTGCTTTGAAAATAGCATTTCCTGTTACAGCCATTAAGTCCTTCATTAGCATTTCCAGGGTTCCATTCCGATATGAAAAAAGAAAAGGAGTACTTGTGGCACCTTAGAGACTAAATAAATTTGTTAGTCTCTAAGGTGCCACAAGTACTCCTTTTCTTTTTGCGGATACAGACTAACATGGCTGCTACTCTGATTCCCATTTGATGAATTAATCACAGGGATATACACAATATAAAATGTAATGTAATAGGAAACAAAAATCCATTAGTTTCCATGAAGTTTACACATCAGGTACATTCTTATCTTAACACACATTTGATCTAGAGTTATTTAATTATCAGGATATACATACTGTAAATGTAATTATAGGGGTATATGCAATGCAAATATAATGTAATAAGAGACAATTGCTTACTGATAAGTGAATACAGTAACATTAGCATCTCTCTTTTATCTCTATCAGCATATGAGTGAGCTAGTCTGACCGCATACTTAACACTTCTTTGATATTCAGACACAAGTGAGTTGGCCTATGGCTCTGATCTGAGTTGCCACCCTGGAAGACAGCTTCACACTAAGTATAAAATAAAATCCATCAGATGGACACAGACTGACAGGAAGTACAAGGAAACAATGAATGGTCAGCTTGATAGGCAGTGGAATCAGCACACTCGAGGCCTGATCATGGAAAAGGACAGTTTTAAGGGATTTGAAAGAGGATAGTGAGGTAACATTGCAGATGTTTATGGGGAGTGCCTTCCAAGCATAAGGACCAGCATTGAAGAAAGCACAAAGGTGCTTGTTTGAAAAGTTAACAAATGGGTGATGGAGGGTGACATCATGGGGATTGTAGCAAAAGTTGACATCTCAATAGTGAATTCAATAAGAGATGATAGGTAGAGTGGGACTATGCTGTAAAGGGCCTTTAAAGTGAAGATGAAGCTTATGGGGGAGTTAGAGGATGGATTCAGGGAGAGGGTGATGTGGCCAAAGCCATGGGGTAGGAAAATTATTTTTGCAGCAGTATTCTGAATGGATATGTGTGGGGCAAGATCGCATTTGTCAAGGCCAGAGAGAAGAATGCTGAAGTAATCAAGACAAAAGATTATGAGAGCCCAGATGAAACATCTTAGAGATGTCTACATCTTGCAGATTCTTTCTGCATAACTTAGCCTGGATTTGAGGACCAAGAGAGAGATCCAAGCTGAACAAGACGCCTAGGTTACAGACCTGAGTGACGGATAAGATGATGGTGGTCTCCACAGTGATCAAGAAAGGAGATAGAATGGCAGGCTTGGAGCTCTATTTTAGCAATGCTGACCTGAGGGCTAAAAAACCATGAGGAGATGTCAGAGACAGGCTGAGATTTTAGTTTAGACAGAAGGAGACAATTCTGCAGTAGAAAGGTAGATTTCTGAGTTGTGAGCATAGAGATAACAGCTGAATTTGTTTGCAGATTAGATTACCCAGAGATAACATGTAGAGGGAGAAGAGAAGAGGACCAAGAACAGAACCCTGTAGAACCCTTGCAGAAAGTTGGAGGAGGGTGAGAAAGATCCTCTGAAGGACACACTGAAGAAGCTATTAAAGAGGGAGTAGGAGGAGACACAGGAGGGGGAAGAGTCACAGAAGCCAAGAGAGAGGACAAGGTTTCAAGAAGGCCATAATTGATGGTGTCAGAGGTGGCTGACAAGTCAAGGATGGGGATGGAGTACTGGTTATGAGCTTTAGCTAAGAAGAGGTCATTGGTGACTAGACTGCATGCACCATCCCTTGAGAAACTGAGCATGCTCCTATCAGCTCAGGACTAAAGGGTGAAGCCAGAAGTTCCTTGTAGTTGCTGCTCCTGCACTGGGACTGAGAGCAGGGAGCCTGTCTCTCTTGTGCTCTCAGTGATTTCCCTGCTTGAAGCTAGACAGCATGGAGGAGGAAGCTCTCTGATCTGAATGCAG